GTTAAATGCATTAGTTGATGCATCATCGAGTCTGATTAATTAACTGCTTGTATAATCATAAACGATCATAATCGAAGATATAATTATGAAGATTCCACATTATGATTAATCATTAGACTGAAGTATATAAATTATATGTAAATTTGTTTCTCAAACATCAAACAAAAATTTAAAAAATTTCCATGTTATTAGTTGATATAAATTTTTTATCTTTCTTATTCTAATGTAATATGATATATATAATACGACGTTCTTTAGAAATATAAACACGTAGTTCATTAGTTTATCACGTAGTTCACCGGTTTATCACGTGGAATTTACATAACGATGTTCAGAATACTCAAATTTAGAAATGCAGAAAAGACATTGTAAACGCGTTAAAAAAAAGAATTAAAAATCCAGACTTTTTTAAATATCATATAGCGCAATCTCGTTTTCATACAACGTTTAATCAACCTTGATGAAAAATGCTGATCTAAACCGGTTTTCTATATAGTCATAATGTACAAAAACATAAGCTACAAGAACAGAAGTAACATTCTGTTTTTATTATACTGTTTAAAATACATTTAATTTGTTGAATCACAGCTACTAATACACAACAGTCTCTTTTATATCTATATTTATAACCAAAAGTGCTTATATCGCCTAACTGTATGTGCTATCTTAATTAAATTTGAGTATTTCGCTATTAGAGGATTTTGTCGCATATTAGAAATTTCATCTGCAGCAACGAGACAAGATGCGACATCAATATTGATTTACCTTCGACTCGATTTGCCTTTCGATAGAGAACATGATAAATTGAAGTCGTGCAGTGAAGGCACAATCACTATACTGTATAAGACAGACAGTTTCTACCTACGATACAGTTCGAATATATAATTTCTCTCTTTTTTCATATTATTCTAAATAATAACTTTTCCACATGATTTTCTTCAAATATACGTCGAAAAATTAAAGTATTTCGAATAACTTATATATACACATATTTCAGTCAGAATACTGAAATTTATTTTAAGAAACCTCCCCTGAGTGATGCAGCAAAAAATATTCAAATCAAGATGTATGCGCCTCTGGAAAATTCACTGTCAGTGAGAAATGCCTAGTAGAGAATCTGTTGTACATCGTTCAATAACATCTGCGGAAGCACGCATTCGACATTCAACCTCGTTAAAAACAGTCAGTCAGGTCGTTTTTTTTTCCCGGTCCGTCATTTGACAAATTGAAAAAGCTGTGGTAATCGAAAGTAAATCTTGGCACTCTCTTTTCTCACCGACAGTCGTGAATTTTCGAAAGGCGCATACGTCTCGACTCGGATGCTTTTTGCCGCGGTCGACCGCATCACCCAGCAGGGAGGTTTCTTAAAATAGATTCCAGTGTTCTGGCCAGAGGTTAGCTCAGTTACATGTATGTATATATACATATGCATATATACATATATATCGGACGATGCATATAATGGCATCGCGGGTGAGCTGGGTTTCTTTAGACAAGATTTAGCTTTAAAAGCTGGACCATGTGCACGTATCTATATCACATATTATCTAATCATAGTACCTATATAATCCGTTGCAAGTGCTGCATTAAAATTTACAACTCGACTATCTGCTGTATATCCTATTTTTAAACAAAGTTATATAATTGAAAAATTAATTTAATATTTGTTTTTTATACATATATATTTTATTTCTATTATAATTTTATATAAAAGTAAAGAATAATATTAATTTTTACTTTTTATAAAACTATAATAAAAATCACGCAATGTGCTTAGTAAAATAATATTAACAGAAAAATAAACTATTATTCACAAAATGAAGAGGATAGAGCAATACTAACAATAAGCAAAATCTACAATTTATGTGTGTACAAAAAAAAATGACGAGCTTGCATTCGTAACTTTGCCCTACGTAAATGTGTGCAAAGTCTGTCTAGTTATTACTTTTTAAAACTATGCCATATATATTGTATATGTATTATATATGTATATATTCATATCTCGCCGTCCTTTCGTTCTATGTGTATATATGTATGTGTCAAAAGACAGAACACTTCTCATTGATTATTCTCGCTTGTCTATTGTTGCTAACGCTTCCTTCATGAGCTACCCTTTCGAAGAAACGTGAGGGACGTCTCTCACTTTATAAATACGAAATGCTCGCAAGGTAGACCGGACGTTCGTTATTTTTACATGTCTTTCGACGCTATTTTCGATGCCTGGCTGATTTATTTTCTCGTCACGCCGCTTGCAATTATCATGGACGCGCTTTGCGATTTAATATGCGGCCGCGCTCCGCGTCGCGTTTTAGATCGACGTGATAAAATTTCCGACAATTTGTTTTTCTTCCGTCGAATACGCATGAATGGACGGGCGGCGATTGGTGCAACACGTCGAAGCGTGACGGAAATTGCATTATTTTCGGTTATTGCTTGAGGGAGGGAACAAAACGAGTGTGTGCTCGATAAAATGCTATGCTACGGGAACTGTATATCGTTATATAATTGCGGTAGGAATAATTTATCAATATATTGCAGTCAAAATCGTCAACTGATAATAAAATTTGAATTCGCGCTGCTTCTAACGCATTTCTCCGAAATGGCTTTCCAATTTGGTCTAATGAATTAATTGGTTTTAACAACCATTATGTGATTTTTATTTTATTCTCTCAATACTGATAAATTTATACAATTATAAAATAGTAATAAATATAGTGAAACGCGTACCCAAATATGTTGGTCTAATTATAAAACCTCGTAATTCTCAATTTTGTTAAAACATCGATTTCCAATAGCATTCAGAGATACATATCGCTATCAATCACACGCTCAAATAATTTCGTAAAATTTTCAGCTTATCTCTCGAGATGAAAACCGCAGATTTAATATCTCTAACGTTTTCGAAATGCACGACAATTTTGTCCCGGCCAGGTCATCGCTCTGTGAATGGCCGTTTAATGACTGAATGATTTTGTGCGCTGCGCGGAACGTGATCGGAATCGATAAAGTTGTCACCGCGTAGATTGCCCTCAGTCGCGATTCCTAACAATTTCGGTAACACAATTTGATCCCAGGGCACGAATTTGATTTATGTCGTGCGCGTAAAGCGTGAGAGAGCGATAACATTGCACTTTCGTTGCATTCGATATCCTGCTCTCGCGAGTTTGAGTATCGATATCTATATAGTACGAAACACGAGAGAAAAATAAACGTCCTTTCTTGCATGCTAGTGAAAATCTACCGTTGATGCATCAGTGGCTCCGGATTCTCTCGTATACACAAGAGAAAATATTTATTTATTGCCGTCCTCGACTTTAAAAATGCCATCGCACAAAGATTCTCTGATCTCTATTTCGTCGAGCACGTTGGTAATATACTGTATGTTCGATGTCACGACGAGAAAACGCATTACTCTATCAGGTTTCACATCGAACGAGCTGTCAATACCAGAGATGATCGGCGTAAAGCGTAATTGATCATTACAGATCTCTTGCCTTAACTTGTACAAATATATATTTTAGAATTATATGTGTGTGCACTATATAAAAAGTACACGCTATTACGCTAATTTATGAGAGATCTTTGTCAAATTTAGTTGTACCTACTTTTGGTTATTTCTTATTCCACAACGAGAATCTTAAGCTCTTCATTTATATAACAATATTTTACGCAGAATAGATTATTATAGAATTATATATGTATGTATAGGAGATATTTTTTGACGAACAAACTGATGCGTTTTTAGATGAAAAGCGAGATATTGAAATAAAACTCTTCGAAGTAATTAAAAGATCAAATAATGTATATTCTCATCTACATTTTTTTTCGACACTTATTTCGAAATCTTTTCCTTTAATATATTCTTACGAAATACTGCTGGAAAATATACCAAAGCACGTGCCGCGGTATCCAGTATTACGACGAATCCCCATGCTACATACGAAATGTCGCTGCGAATATTTCCATAATAATATGTATACGAGAATAGCGAGAACGCAAGTTACTGTGCCGCGTCGGTTGCTCCAATTCTACAATCGGGCTTTGATGTATTCCGCGGAACGACAAAGACTCACCTCAACCATATATTCGTTTTTTAGTCTCTTTCTTCTCCAAAAAATGCAAAAAACATTATATTCGATCGAATTTTCATAAAGCCAAGATGATTTGTTACGTTAAATGTAAACATTCTAGTACAATTGAAAGAAATCTAGAAAAGATAAAAGAATTTCTGTGTTATTTCTAAGAGAATTCGAGCTTCGATTTCGCGAACTTTCGTCATATTATAGGTATTATACAATATGTGACGTGCTAGAGAAGTTTTATTGCAATTAAAATCAAGTATACTGTTAGGAATTTCAACTCTTAAAAGGAATTTTTAATGTTAAGACTATGTGTTGCGGAAATTAACTGTGATTTACAATTACGATTTACTAAATAGCTTTTAAGGATTTTTTAGATTATTGAATACAAAATTCAATGTTCAAAATTGTTAAATTCAAAATGGTGCTCAATATAGGGGACGTCAAAATTTTATAAATCCTTTTTTTATATAAATCGCCATATTAAGTCCATCATTTTGGCTGGATTTGTATTCGGTAACATAAAAAACTTTTACTATTAAATAAACATAACTGAAATCTATTTGGTAAATCATAAATGACCCAAGTCACAGCTAACATTCGTAATACATCCCATTTAACCATGAATATCTTATCAACCACAACTGACATCACAAAAGTTCCTTTTAAGGGTTGAAAGTCTTAACAACAATATACTTCATTTTGATTGCAATAAAATTTCTCTATCACGTTTCCAAGAATTTCTCAGAATAATTTGGAAACCAGATTCGTATTTAGCACCTGAAAAATTAGAAGAAACCACTAGCTGGTTCCGGTTAATTTTTTTTTTTCTTCCAGCGTTATTTGTCCGCCGTAAGAAATCGATCGAGAACCAAAGTACAGCCATCGAACATAGGTATTGAACGAGCGATTTTGTTGCAGGGAAGGCGAGGGCGGCGGCGGTCGTTCTGTGACCGGCGTCGGTGGCGGTGGTGGAGGAGGCGGCGGTCGACGGGCACCGAGCCTACGGCTGGTGAACGGAAGGGCGACCACCGGGGTGAGTTTGCACACCAGCAGCACCGAGTCTGTGCGCTCTCCCCATCACCAGCTCGGCCAGCAGGTCGGCAACAACAACTGCCACGCCGGTAATAACCCCGCCGCGAACAATCATCCACGGCTCAACAAAGATGATAGCATCAAGATCAGCATCGAGAACACCAACACTTGTACAGACAGCCTCGTCACTGCTCTAGACGACGAGACTCTGCTCATCACTGATTTCCTGGGCGATACAGGTAAATCATTTCGGAAAACGTGATCTGATCGCCAGTTGAATTTTTAAAAACCAAATTAGGCAAGAATTGATTGACCAACACCGGCAAAGTTAAAATTCTTTTAATAAGAATATTTTTAAGTCAGCTCTCCAATTTTTAAACCACCATATTCATCTCGACTAAAGAGCCAAACGCGATGTTATTGCGACAGATTAAGATAAGAAAATTTTGGAAACTAAGGAATTTGAATCCTATGGTTGGGATCTCAGAAATTCCCCTTGTTCCTTCTTTTAACATCCCTGTAAAGAAATAGACGAGAAAAATATTGGTCCAAAAGTCGGCTGAATCGGCGGTTTTAAAATTCTTTTATTAAAAAGAAACGACGTTTCGACCATCAATTGGGTTCTCTTCAGGCTGTTGAATTTAATTACATATTGAAATAATTAAATACTGATTGAAATAATCAGGTAACTGTCAGTTGTAACATAACAAAAATGACAGTCTTGAAAAGTAAAAATAGGAACCCAAAGTTCACTTAGACATGTAAATTTACACGAGTAAGTGTAAATTTACATGTCTAAGTGAACTTTGGGTTCCTATTTTTACTTTTCAAGACTGTCATTTTTGCTATGTTACAACTGACAGTTACCTGATTATTTGGTTATTTTAATATGTAATTTAATTCAACAGCCTGAAGAGGACCCAATTGATGGTCGAAACGTCGTTTCTTTTTTAATAAAAGAATTTTAACTTTGCCGGTGTTGGTCAATCAATTCTTGCCTAATTTGGTTTTTAAATCATTTCGATTTTTCGATCGTTCTTCGCAGAGAAAAAAATCATCATTGGAATTAATATCTGATTTTTTTAAAGAGGGAGGATCTAAGCGTTTCAAAACGCGATTATTCGCAGAAAAAATCTGCGAGTCTCTATTAATCAAATAGTTACCGTGAAGAAAGTGTATTGCGTACTGAAAAACAATTTCTTGAATTCGAATAAATATTTATTTCAATACTGTCTAATAAGTCATTTATTTGAAACTAATAATATTGACGTGAAAAATATTTATTTGATATAAGAAACAAATAAATATTTATTTGTTTCAAATAAATGACTGATTAGGCAGTATCGAAATATTAATTTAATAATTTTTGGTCAGTGCGACAATTATTTCGAGATGAAATATTCTGATTAATTGTTAACGACATACATACACAAAGTATCGTTTTTATATGAGACTATAAATTCATTAGTGCTGTACCTCACGAGATCCCTTCGGGAGAATCCCGGTACTTAAATACAATGACGTTTCATTCGATCGTATAAATGTCACCATCCGTGTCGTTATACCCGAACGTCAATATCGTTTGAAATATTACGCTCAAATGAACAATAGAAACGGACGATTTTACACGGAAATATTTCACGCTTTTATCTACGTAAAATCCAAAATGTAAGCACGTTTAAAGCGCGAAATCATTATAAATTCGAGCTTAAGATCCTTATACGAGCGAACTTCTTCGAAGGGATGTAAAGGAATGCGGAGTAAAAATAAAACGACTTAACGACGTCGCCGCGATACAGCGACATTCTAACGACGGGAATAAATGATGGCCAGATTAAATGACTACTTGCCTGGCGCCGGCCGTGAAATTATTCGCCAAGTTCTGACGATTTACGATCGATAATACTTATTAATGCAACGCCGTATATCGCGCAATGGACCGCCGAGTCGCGCGATTGGATCCAAACGCTAATAAACGTCGAATTAAATTCGTTTCATTCGTGAACAGACGAGAGAATGTATGATTGCCGCATTGTGGCGTTTGCGGTAAAATTTCATAAATCATTGATCAGTCCCGTGACACGCGCAATGAACACATATGTGTAACGACCGCATATTGCATCCCGCCGCACATAATACGCAAATGTAAGCAGCGTGTGATGTACTTAGCGATAAAATGTGCTCACTGTACTGTTAATGGCAAAAAAATATCGATGAAAAAAGGATCGCGCTATTTTATATTCATGAAAATTGAAATGCAGAGCGAGATTATCGAACACACGATACAAATAATATCGAAGCCAAAATCGATAACGCGATGCGATACGGCAAATACCGTCAGAGCATGACAGAATGTGTGTCTGAATATTCCAGGGCCTTTCTCGTAAATGTAGAATGCCGGCATGATACATTACGTAAGAAATGATTACCATATTCGATGTTGTTCCGGATAACTATTTAAAATATGATTTAATTCTCATATAAATTATAAATTAACTACGTATATACACAGGCAATAGCAATATGGAATACGGAACTTCTAGTGACATTTTTATTCCATTAGTGCACAAAATGCAAATTCAACATTGTACTCTCGCGCTATCGAAATATATAGTCTATTATAGGCATCTCATTTTTCCGGTTTGAATGCATCGTGTAATATTCCCTGCAGATATAAGCGGATCTTCTACAGAAATGGAAAATACATGACGATCTCTTGGAATATAATAAAAGTCTGATGTTTTTAACATTTCGTGCGAATGTAGGCACTCCGCGGATCCGATATATTCAAGAGTGTATCTATTAAAATAATATAAACTTATTCCACTTGTGTCTTCTCCAAAATGATAACATATTTTCTTATGCAAATAATTCCGTGAAAGTAATACACAGTATAATTGCAGCTGTATTTATAAGACTCGAATCTTTATGACATTCTGGAAATATCTGAATACAAATCTGAATATTATCATAAAAATTACACGATACTGAAAGAAGAAGGATTATAAAGATTTGAATAAAATGCATCTTTATTAAGAAACATCACACAGTAACGGATAAATTTTCAACATAAACGTTGGAATTTCGTAAAAATTCCAATATTTACAACGTTACGAAAACATGAGTCTCGCGCTGATTTGAATTTCAGTTCTAGTGTAACGCGGATAACCGGCAAATAAAATTTCTCAAATAACTAGCGCGATACAATGTTAAATTTATCGTCCTCTCTTTCAGCCTCGATTAAAACGAACAACGTCATTCCGTTCATCTGTCTCGAATATCATACAGAATGACAGGCGCAATAAATCGCGATATTGGATCTTTTACGCCACTGCGATACGCATCGGGGTATAGGGATTATGGTGAAGCGAATTAACGTATACCAATATATGTACAAAAAAAGAAACGGTCTTATGTATTTGTTCGTCCGGCTAAAACCGGTCAGTGGATACGCGTCTCTTCTCGCGCATCTTCGCGTCCTTGATCCGTTAGTTGCTCCAAGTGATTCTTGAGCGGTATCTGCCTTTGGACCGGGTCAGAGCGATTCTCCGCGTTTACATCACATTCTCATCTGAACTTGTTATGACGGTACACGTCGAGGAAGGAGGATGCGCTTCCACGGCGCAAGAAAAGCCACTGTTACAACAAGGCATCAACCCGTTGCAAAATGATTTATCGAAAGATATGGGACCGTGGACAAGATCATACGAGGAGCTTATCTCCACTTGGACGTTATGGAGCGTTTATAAGTCGCGTAGAGCCAGTGAGTGTCAAAAAAACGTAATGTTTATGTGTTCGTTATCGCCGTCGATTTCGCTACTATATAGTATTCATTTTGAAAAAAATAACAATAATGAAAGAGTGTGTATGTGTGAACATCCCTTAAATTTTTATTTAATTTTCTTAAATCAACGTTTCGATAAAAGTGTGTATGAAAAATGAATATATTTAAAATAACAGAGTAATAAAAACTGATAAAAATATAAAAGCACACATAACATTGTGATTTAAATAAAATATAATCAATGAATTTTATAAATTGTACATGTGCAAAAGAGATAATAGACGTGCATAATATAATTATTTATGTGGAAATATTTCATTACATTATTCACGTGAGAGTGATTTGTAATTACGAAGTTAAAATGATATTAATATTGAAATTAATTAAAATATTAACATACTAAAGGCAAAATTGGGAAAATTGTTCCTATATATTATTAACGTGTGTGTAAAACGAATTGCTCCCGAAAATATTTTCATCTTTCAAAGATGTAGAAATACGAATGTGACATCGAAATAACAGATATTGAAAAATTTATACATCATAAAATATAACATCGTCAGATTTACAAACGCGAATATTTTAATCATAAATTACCAAATATAGGTTGAAGCTATCAGGCTATTAAATAACGTTTTTAAGAGAACAAACAAATAAATGTGTTCATTTGTGTGTGTGTGTGAGCGCGCATGCGTGCGTGTAACTCGTCGTCCCACTTATAAAATTTTAGAAAGTCCCATAAGATTTACAAAGTATCGTCAAGTTCACAAGCTATAAAGATATTTCGGGTAATGACATTGAGGTATACGAGTCGACGTAATCGTGTCGCGAGTTTGGTTGTGAACAATCCGCGATTTGCCACGTGCCAATAGCTGTCATATGACTCGACCCGGGTTTATCGGCCGATACCGAGATTTTACGGGCGCTTCGGATGGTGATAAAATCGCCAAATAATGAACGGTTATATTGATTGCCGACACTGATCTCACACGATTATCGCTGTGTTTCAGGCAACGAGATGAATTACAAAGGCAGCGGGAAGGTTCACTTCGGGGTGGATGACGTGTCTCTTTATGGCACCCCGAAGGAGGAGCCGGGCCGGGTCTTCCGGGCCAGGAAGTTAAGCAGAGCTTCTTGAAGAATCAACTTCAGGCTCTGTTCCAGCCGACGGACAACAAGTTGGCTATGAAGCTCTTCGGCAGCAAGAAGGCGCTTATGAAGGAACGGATCAGGCAAAAAGCCGCAGGTCACTGGGTCATCCATCCTTGCTCCAGTTTTCGGTAAGTCCTTTTGCCTATCAGCTGATCTCATTCAACAGGCCGCATCAATATTTCGCGCTATCGCATTCGTTCCGGTTGGAAAACACGTCCTACTAAGAAATACCGGTTTCAGGTACAGTCTCATATCTAAGTCTGTCCGAATAAACTCGCGCGTGAGATCCGTCCCGTGTGCTTTATAAAAGAGACAAATGTCTGCATAATACTTGTACCTCACGGGACTTCAATTTCGCTTAGTTTTATCGAGAAACAATCAAATGTAAATAATTTGTATTCAAATTCTAATTTAACAAAGTACAAGAAGCCTATAACAACATTTTGAAATATTCTTTTCAAATAATCGGCAATAAACTGGCAATCAGGAAATATTTCTTCCCACGAGACTAATTATTTTACAAGTTGTCAAAAAATTGTCAACATGCATTTGTCATCAATAGATTAGTCATCGATATCTTTAAAAAACACCGGTTACAAATAAACAAATTATTTTTTACGCGCTTCATTTTCAAATCAGTATTCGAATGTATAAAGAATGATTCTTTTATTATCCATTTCTGAATTAATGTGATAAAAATCTTAATTTTACAATCGCTTAACGCATAAAGAAACAAGTATGTTATTATAAATAAATTTGTGATACAAATTCGTGTTCTGCGTATAAATATATGCATACGCGGAATATCGCGATAGTGAAAATGACAAATGACATTAGTGACTGGAGCGACCGAGCGATAGATCACCAGAGTCGTGTCAGCTTATCCGCAATCCCAAAACTTTTCGTCTTGACTGCGACTCGGAGCTCCAGCAAAGTGAACCAGTATCTTTGTGTGTGTTGCAATAAAATATCTGCCGGATCCGTATCGTGTGCATCGCTCAGGCTGTCGAGCGGCGCAGGACAGATTTCGAGGATCACAAAAGAGCGCGTTTGACCTAGCAGCGGCCTAGCGGCAGCTAACACACGTCGCTCGCGGTTTTCGATCGATCTGGGTCGCGCGGAATATTCAATGGCTCTGCACAAGAATCACGGATCTCATAGTCATATACATGCAGATGTAACGTGCCTTGTCCCGAGAGAAACGAAATAGTGCGGGTCTTTACGGCCTCGAGAGAAGGCCTCTTTTAGGCCTTTCGCTTTTCCGCTAGTGGCTTGCCTTATCGATGGCGAACCACAATTCGCCCGAATGTGTGCTATCGACTCCTCGAAGAGCGGAGGCTCTTGGCGCACTCGCCAAGTCTTTTATGTGTATGCGTCCGTTTAAGGACAAATGTATCGATTAGAATGACAATAAGTGCCCGTCTACCGGACGATAATAAATGGACGATCTCCGATTAACGGTAATTCTTGCGGAATTGCCCATTAATCTATCTTCAGTAGCACGAAAAATTTTACAACAAAGTTATACTTCGTGGTTTATGTTAGCGAAAGTTTACCTAAGCAACGCGGTGTTTGAAGAAGTATCGGAAATATTAAAGGAAAATTTATTCTCAACCACAGTGCTAAATATAATCTCCCAATTCTCTATTCTTTCAAGTAATAACTTTTAAAGCTCGATGAACTATATAACTCCTTCCTGTTACGTTTAATTATTTTAAGATACATCGATCGCGCATATATAAGATTCATCCTTAGTAAGCGCGCGCTTCACGAAAAAATCGTCATAATTTGATTTCCTGCCCAGTCGCTCGCGCGAGTGATTTTTAATTTTCGAGAAAGGGAACTTTTTTTTTTTTTTTTGAGAGAGAAAATTAAAGCAACGAATCCGCGCGGGGTTGAAAACGAGCGAGTGGTGCTGCGAATGGCAGTATCAAATGGCCGATATTAAAACGTGTATAGTGCAGCCAGCCCGCCGTTCCATAACGCGCGAAATACTATATACTATACTAGACCGCGACGGCGTTTGTCGTTCAATTGGTTGAAATTGCCCGGCGCTTCCGTTCGGAATCTTGGCTAATTACCGGGAGCGGGCGGGAGATATTCGAATCCTCTGTCTCGCAGCATCTTCTATGAGTCTGCCGGGGATCTCGTGGGCATTGAAACTTTAATTCGCATCCCCGTTAATGCTAGTAATATTTTCCACGGAGGTTCCGCACGGCGGAACGAGCGTAATCAATGATTGTCGTTAATGTCGTGCGACATATGTAACGCTAATATCTAGCTGCTAAATTGTGCAAATAATCGTCGTTCCATTTTCCGATCGTTATTGTGTAGAGCAGGTAGGTGCATAATAGAATTGCTGGAAGCTTTCCATCTGGCCTGTATGTTTTATTCGAATGTAACACAGCGTGCGACCAAATTCATAGTTTCGTCATTTAAAAATACAATTATTCTCTTTTGTCAACAACTCTCCATAATAATTTTTGAAACTTTGTTTAAATGTAATTTTGATATTATAAAATATTTACAACATCCTGAATATTTTTAAAAACTCAAATATAATTATTTTTATAATATACTAATGCACATCTCAGTTAAACAGAAAAATTCGCTTTAAAATTTATTAAATTCTCTTTATCTTAAATATTAAAATCTACATAGCAATTTTATTATTTTAGTTTCTTCTTAACAAAGATATTAATTATAAATTTTTCATTTAACATAGTGGAAATTAACTCTACCTGATATAAAATATTTTTGTGAAAGTGAAAAAACATTAATATAGATGTCAAAAAATCTATTTCGTGGTTTGGTTGGGCGACTAAATGAATGTGCTCTTTGATCTTCAGGCCTGAATATAAATGATAACCGAAATATCCGATAACACGTGCCACATATAGTCGGCTGTAATGTCACTCCGTCAGCAGTTCATTATCCTGAACATCCCGAACATGTGCATGGCTCTGTAGTAGATATCGCGTTAATGGAGATCCATCCATGAGCAATTAACATGGGACATCGATACGACATAGTCGATCAAACTTTCTATACCTAATTGTTTCAACATATCTCTTGAGTAAAATTTAAACGAAAAAAATTGATTCAGAGTATCGAACTGTTCTTTATCAATTATCAAAATTGTGTCTATAATTGATTTTTAATCGAAATTGTTTTGAAAACTTAGTTAGTTACAACGTCAAGAAATTGAATGCTGCATATTATAAATTCACAACACAGACAATGCCAATAATTTCATTTCCTTATTTTTAATATGCGGCCGCCAAATCGCTATCCTTCACTTATGTATGTTTCATGAATTCGTAATTCACAAAGTGTTTGGCTCCCGCGATACGTGATATTCATAATAATGCATATGACGGTATCTCGCGAGATATTGCAAAATTAGATGAAAATATTGTTACACGTGCAGTTCTGAAAGAAGACCGAAGACGAGGCCACGCGAGGCGGAAACTTTTGTTCATACATCGAAACAAAATATGGAATTGTTTCCCCTGCGAAACAAAACATATAGGTACTCTCTGTTAGCCGGAACTACTGCGGCGAATATAACTTGATGGTTGGGACTCTGTCAGGAGGATACATACTTTCTTCCTTGAAAGGAGGAACTCTGGTAAATACGAGACATCATAAAAGCGAACATAAACTACGCTCCTTGACTCCGAACGCGATGTTATATGTTCCTTTTTCTTTGGGTGCGCCTCGTGTTAAATTGTATAAGAAGTCACGGCTTTTTGGAGAAACCGTATTTGATTTATCGACGATAATGTTAAGAGATGTAAAACCGAACTCTCGAGTGATTTATCGCGTACGGACATGGTATCGAATATTCGGGTCGTCATATATATAATATTTTCATTTTTCAGGATTCGTGAGAAAAAAAAATTATATTTTACATTGTAGTTTTCTTCTCTTTAAGAGAGATGTGAAAAGAACTTTCTCATAATTCTTTTATATAGAAAACATTAAAATTTTTTTATATATAAAACTTAAGAGGAAGTTTTAGTTCTCTCTCTTTTAAAAAGGAAGAAAATTACATCTCGTAAAATATATTTCTATTTCTCATGAATTATATAGGTATATTATCCTTTTTACATCTTAATAAAGTTGTTACCGAAGTGCATCATTATGTATCTATCTACGCGCTCTAATCAATTGTCTGGAAATACTAAAAGAAGAAAACAAAGAAAATGTACTTAGATAGCAATTATGCAGACGTTTGTAATTATCGACGGACAAATCGTCCATCTTCCAAGGTATACTAGATTTGAACAAAAGCATGAAAATATAAAACGAAGCACCAATTATTTTTAGTGCTTCGAAGTAAAATGTATTTATAGCATCATCAAATAAAAAGAATGACGTTTTCGACGTCGGAAACAGTCAACAGTCGTTAAAACGCCTGTCGTAGCTCGCGTTCGCGCGACACAATGTGTATTTTATGCGTACTAGTTTCGGTGAAAACCAATTAAAAAATATATATTACCTTGTTTGCCCGCGCCAAGTTAGATATTTAAGGAAGAACAATTACTGTTATCTAGACGATCGTTGTTCCTCGATTCATCGCGTTATTGTGCTACGATGTCGGGCGATACCGGATTGCTGCGCAATCATCCATTTTTAGTTTATTATGACTTTCATTAAAATGAGCTCTTTGCGAATCGCTAGCGAGTAAAACGACATTCCAAACGACTGACTTCAGCAACGTCGCACCTTAATGAGGAAAAAACATCGTGATAACATACAACGATCGAATCACAAGTCGCTTTGGACATTGGCCAATCGATCTTCCCAGGCGAGGCAAAATTGCACCGAAGCAATACGAAATTTCAAATATCGGCTTCAAATTAACTACAATCCGATATGTTAATCTAATTGATTTATCATGAATAATTTAAATAAATCTTATTTAAAATTTTCTCGTAAGAGAATATATTAAGAAGACTGTAGCTGTTTCAATTGACTTATATATTATTGTTTCGAGATTGAAAAAGTTTGGTATAAATATAAATTTCATAAAGCTGGTAAATCAAATAATGAAATATTCATGATTGAGATTAAGATTGTTTCTCAATCAATATTTATTTCACAATTTTAACACCAAACTTGT